AGTACCTGTCTCAACCTTGAAGAACCTAGCAAAATGCACAGCGCATGCTTAATAAACCTTACTGAAGGAGCACACATGACTGACCAGTGGTAAGCATTTACCAAGCCTCTAATACGGTTCAGTTAGCTCTAAGATACATTCTTGACATGAAGAAAAAATTACTTCACATATAGATTTTTTTTGGTAAGTACACTAAAAGCAACCCTTTCAGTACCACAGAAATCAACATATTCCATTCAGAACCTTTTTGCTAAAAAAATCTGTTCTCCCTTCCATCTACAATCTATTATCTATACGTGGGGCAAGGATTTACCTTTCTCTTCTCTTTCCAAACATCCCAGTACCGTTTACTGAAGAATAGAGCCTGGCTTTCCCCATGAATTTCTGATCCCACCACTGCTGTTCTATATTTGTATTTCTTAGATCCGTGGGTCTCTTTCTCAGTCCTTCAACCTGGTTTCCTTGGTTTGTCTATTCCTGTCAGTCCAGAATATTTTAATGACTCCTGAGTAGTATGTCTTTATATCAACTTCACTATACTCAAGCATTTATTCTTCTAGAGAAACTTTTCCATTTATTTATCTGATTTCCCTAAAAACTCCAATTTTGCCTGCATTATATCAACAGATTAACTTGGGGGATTCAGAGGGAATCAGTATTTTTTTTTTTTACTTTATTTTTTATTTTTTTGAGATGGCTCTGTCACCCAGGCTGGAGTGCAGTGGTGTGATCTCAGCTCACTGCAACCTCTACCACCCTGGCTCAAGTGATTCTCATGCCTCAGCCTCCCAAGTAGCTGGAATTATAGGTATGCCCCACCACGCCCAGCTAATTTTTATATTTTCAGTGGAGACGAGTTTTGCCATATTGGTCAGGCTGGTCTCACCTTTCTGGCCTCAAGTGATCCACCTGCCTCAACCTCTCAAAATGCTAGGAGTGCAGGCATGAGCCACCACCACATCCAGCCCCATCAGTATCTTTATAATATTGAAGGTTGTTTTGATTTTTTTTTTTTGATAAGGGTCTTGCTCTGATACCCAGGTTGGAGTACAGTTGTGTGAATATGGCTCTGGAGCCTCAATCTCCCAAGCTCAAGTGATCCTCCCACTTCAGCCTCCTGAGTAGCTGGAACTAGAGGCACACACCACCATGCCCAGCTAATTTTAAATTTTTTTGTAGAGACGAGGTTTCACCATGTTGCCCAGGCTGGTCTTGAACTCCTGAGCTCAAGCGATCCTCTCACCTAGGCCTCCCAAAGTGTTGCTTTTACAGGTGTGAGCCACTGCACTCAGTCACAATACTGAGTTTTATTATTCAAACGAACAGGCTGATTTTTTTGCCAGTAACTCTGTTCTACAGAAAGAATTTATAGTTTTCTGCACAGAGATTCTGTACATTTCTTTTTATATAAATTACTAGATTTTTCATGGTTTTTCTTGCTTTTTAAAAAGAATCCCGTTTCTTATTTTCTAACTGATTATTGCTGATATGAAGAAAGCTATGTAGTTGTTTTACACTTGTCTTGTATCTATTTTCTAAGGCTAATGTAAGACCAAACAATTTCAGTAGCTTTTCAACCTTTCTGTAAATAGAAACTTGTATTATGGCATGAGTCCCCGTATCTAATCAACATTTGAAATGTATCCTAAACCTAACAATTGACACACACCCACACACAAACACACACCCGTTTCTCCATACTCTTGTGTAAGTAAAATTGTCCCATACAAAAGAGATTTCACTGTGACTCCTCAGCAAGAGTCTGGGCTTTGCTTCTTGTACTTTCTAGCGTCAGAGCAATGGGCCAGCTCAGCATGAAGGGTGAGTCACTATCCAATCCACCTTCTTAGCCATCTAACATTCTGAAGAGCTACGATATTCACTCTAATCAGGATCAAGTCAGGATCTTTTCTGCTCATGTATTATAACACATTCAAGGGTTCCCTGTGCCCGAATACTTCAGCAAGGGGAGAGTCTCTCTCTAGGTGACTCTTTTCTCTCCTGTGCCTATTTAAAAGAAAAAAAAAAGCGAGAGCCTTCAAGTTAATTCTGCCACAATGGTCTCCTTCAGCTAATTCAACTGTGTCTAATCTTTATCAGTCCACTGACAATGGTCAAAACCTTTCTCCTAACAGATAAAAAATATTCTTTAAACTGGGAGTTTTATAAACAGGTTTTCTATCTTAAAAATGCCAGATTGCTTTTCTTCTACATATTTAAACATTTAAAACTACACTTAAGTATTTAAATGCACTTTTTTAAAATTTATTTTTGTTTTTTAAGACAGGGTCTCACTCTGTCACCTGGGCGGGGAGGCAGTAGTGTAATTTCAGCTCACTGCAACCACTGCCCCCAGAGCTCAAGCGACTCTCCCACCTCAGCCTCCTGAGTAGCTGGGGCTACAAGTGTGCACCACCATGCACATCTAATTTTTTGTATCTTCAGTAGAGACGGTTTTGCCATGCTGCCCAAGCTGGTCTCAAACTGCTGGCTCAGGCAGTCCACCTGCCTTGACCTCCCAAAGTGCTGGATGATTACAGGCATGAGCCACCACACTCAGCCTTAAATGACATTTTAAATAGCAGCAAAATACTTCTAAAGTCACATTCTATACAGCTGTTTTTTAAACATAGGAGGCACACAGAAGTGTTGCCCGGGCATGCCCTCACTTTGCTCACACTTACCAACCCACCCTCAACTTAACCTAGAGGATTCCAGAGACTGAAGGACATAGAACCACAAGGAATGAGTCTGGTTCCCTAAATGACTGTGTGGAGCAGAGACTCCCTCCTCAATGAAATGTAATGTGAATGACAAATAAACTCTAACTACGTTGAGCCACTGAAATAATGCTACTGTTTTAAATGCAGTTAGCCTATCCCTAGATAATATAGAAATGTTAGGTAAAGGCCTTGAGACTGACAAGAATTTGGAATAGCTGATGAGGGAAATAAAAAGGAGAATGACTCAGATCAAACTGATGGAGGGGTTGTGAGAGCCCACCAAAGTCTGTACTCACACAAATCTATACTCACACCAATCCACACAATTGTATAATACATTCAACTTGGCTATGTTAAATTATTTTTTAAATCGAACAGTTAAAAGAGCAGCAAAATATTTTTTAATGAACTATTACACAGAATCCCAGAATACAAACTAGAGAAACACAGAGCAGACGTGGCTGAAGCAAGACTGGAAGACCTAGAACCTCACCTGCTGAGCTCCTCTGACACCTGCAGAATCTGCCTACAAAGTCCCAGGACCCTAGAGGCCAATGTGAAAATTCACGATTTTGCAATATTGTTAACTTTAAGCTGCTAATGTTAACATTTCTGTTATCAACACTAATAAATCAAAATAATTAAAAGTATGCTTTTTGTTTCTGTTTCCTACTATTAATAAATGATTATTTCTCACTTATTATAACTCAAGTATTCAAAGCTCTTAATTTCTCTTTCAGGTGGCACAGCTTTGCCCCAGTGGCTCCTGTTTCTCCATTTGTGTTGTCTGTTACTTTCTCCCATTTTTCTGGCTGTATTTTCAACTTTCTTCTGTACTTAAGTATTATTCCTGACTCAATGCACATTTAATGCTAGCATGTGCTAAGCATAGGATGCGTGATGAACAAGACCAATATGGTTGCAAATTCTCAGGAGAATTAATTTTCTAAGTGATTGCAATTCTTTTAAACTTACACAATGATTTCCTAATTTCATTACACTATGATGACAATGTGACCCAGGCTACTTCCTCATGATCACGAAGGTTTTCACAGTGGTCTAGCATCTACTGATTCTGCTCATGAGGTCATGTTCTGCAGGAACACCTACTATCCATAAATGGGATGGCCAGCATCTGTTCTCCTTTTCTGCTCTTCCAGGTATATTTCCCAATTCTTCTCAATATCTTTGATTAACTAGATTTTTGGTGCATTTAAATTGTTTTGCTTTCATCTGGGTTTTGTTTTGATGTAATTTCCTTTCAGCCAAACCAATTTTAAAATCTGTGTCATAAATATACTTTAATCTCACTACGGAGAAAAAGATATTTCCTTTCTCTTCTAAAATTCTCTTGTTTCATGAAAGTGATTTTTCTCTGAGTTCATACAACTTTGGTCCATTTCTATTACTGAATAATTTCTTTTTTCGGAGGTATCATGACTTTTCCAAGACACTTATTCTTAAACTGGATTTACTGCTCATTACTTATGCAGTACAGATGACTCCAGACTAGCCCAAAGCAGGCCTACTGTATCTTATTCACTGGAGAAAGCAGTCAAGCCTGACATTAAAAAAAAAAAAAAAAAAAGTGTATCTTCAACTTCCCCATCTGGTACCAAGGTGTTAGCAGATATCACTTTACAAAGATGGAAAGCAAGTTACTTCATAAGAGCTTTTCTTGTATTTATTTCATAACAGATATTCAGTCAGTTTTGTTACAGGACAGAGACTCATCTAGCACCAGTAAGAAAATAAATCCCCTGTGAAGGAACAAAAGCCAGAAATTATTTCCACTACTCAACTGAATACTGCTGTTGAATGAAGAACATTGCAAAGAGGTGAAACGAATAGAAGAAAAAATGTATCCTTGAGCATGTTCTCTAGGAAACTCTGACTGACCTAGCTCAAGAACCTATGAACCAAAGGAAGTCCCATAAGGTATGAAGAAGCAGAACGAGGCTCTCACTGACTTCTGTAGTACTATGAAAGACTACTTAGAAGAGGGAAATTCTAGGGGTCCAAAGTGGCTCCCGCCAGGAGGCCATGGCGCTTGTGAAGGCGAGGTCATCAGTTCAAGGCTAACCTGAGCAACCTCATAAGCTCAAACTGATTGGCAAATAAAAAGAAGAGGGAAATTCTAAATTCATAAAGAAATTTTCAACTGAAATGTTTAATAGCTTTTCACTTGAACTACTAAATGCAAATATAATATTTTGTCCTTTAACCACCTTGCTAGAATGGATAAAACAGGTTACTAAATCAAAGTTTTCATCTTACCCTGAAAAATCCGCAGAATATTGTCCATAGTCAAAGATATAGACTCGAGTAACTTGGCACACTGTGAGGTATCCCAGAGCAAACACAAAGCAGTATCTGAAAAACAAAAATAAGCTACATTAATGAAAATAAAAGACTCATTTTGTTAAAGAGCACATTTTAAAGTAATTTATTAATTAAATGATATGGTTCAGAAATTAAATATTACTAGATCTACTCTACAAAAAGCTTTCTTTAATGAATTATGAAAACTCTTTTCTAGTATGTGCTTCCATTTACTTGACTATCTCCTTCAACAGTAAATTCATTTTATTCATTTTCTTCTGAGAGACGTACACACACCAATATATATATTTGAAAGTCATGATCACAAGCTATAAATATGTGATCAGTATGTGTTCCATTTATTCCTTTCTAGAACATAAAAGTTAGCACAAAAATATCTGGCTAAGGTATACATTTAACAAATTCTTCACAGAATTTTGAAAAAGACGTCCTCGATAGTCTAAAAGCATACCTGCTTAGTATAAGTCGGGCAGCATTCACTCACATTTCATAGCCATGAACACTTAGGGATTTCTAAAAACTTAAGATGCTGGGAATACAGTTACAATTAAAAACATAGCATAGGAAAAAGAACTTATATATATCAACAGGAGAGAACAGAAACCCAGAAACAGACTCCAGAATATTTAACATTGAATAAGATGAAGGCTGCAGTGCAAAATATCAGGGAATGGACGGCTCATCATCTAACTGGTTCACAAACTGAGTGGGGAAAAGAAAGCTATGCCTTCAACGCACACCAAAACAAGTCTATGTGGATTAACAATTACACATAAAATACACAAGTACAACAAATAGGAACTGTGACTAAACAGTCAACTGTTCCCAAATTGGGGAAGGACTTTCTAAATATATATGATATAGAAGAAATCAAGGGGGAAAAAATCTTTAATAAAAAATTATATTTCGCCAAATAAAAATCTTTGTCATGTAGGGAGTTCAGGTGGTTTTATGAAAGTTCTTTCAAACTTTTGAGAAACAATTATAATATTTTAGGTTATTCCCAAGCAAAGAACAGGGAAGGAAAGCTTCCTAATTCAAATGTTTAACAAAACTAACATATTCATGATTGCTATATCTGACAAAAATAGCACATATGGATATACATTCACAAAGTGTTGAGAAATCAAATTGAACTTCTAAAAATCATGTGGCAGACTGTACTTTCAAAAGGTGCTTGAAACAGTCTATCCTACCTCATATGCTCTTCTGCAGCCTGTTCTACTCCCTGTCAGGAGGAGGAGGCTCTCTCTCTGCCCACTTCAAGTGTGGGCTGGCCTTCCAACTGCACAGAGCAGTGGACTACAACATTGGGCTCTGCCTCTGATGAAGGCCTCGGGCTGCTTCCACTAATGGCAGAAGGTAAAGGGGAGCCAGTGTGGGCAGAGACCATGTGACTGGAGAGGAGAAAAGAGCCAGAAGGTGCCAGGCCCTTTTCAACAACTAGCTCTCAAGGGAATTATTAGAGTGAGAACACTCATCTCCTCATCCCCCAGGGAAGGCATTCATCTATTCATGAGGAATCTGCCCCGTGACCCAAACACCTCCCATTATACCCCACCTCCAGCATTAGACATTAGATTTCTACATGAAGTTTAGAGGAGACAAACATCCAAACCCTAGCAAAAATTTTCTTTCAGCTCTTGGTATAAAGAGTCAGACATGTACAACAGGGAGGGATGTTACTGATGGCAGCAATCTTGAAAGACAGCCAGCCCTCTGGCCCCAACAGTTCACACGAATCCTACATGAAAGTATACTCCCTTTCCTCCCAGGATCCCCAAGAGTGGGAAGGGGATGGGGGATAAAAGACACAAATATGGTGCAGTGTATACTGCTTGGGTGGTGGGTGCACCATGACACAGTGTATCATGACTGTAGCCAGTACGGAATAAACAGCAAAAACAAAACAAAACAAAACAAAACAAAAAAGTCCACCCATCTCATTAACATAAGCAAAAATATTAACTGACATTCATGTTGGAACTACATTCATTTGCCAATGATGTGAGCAACTACTTTACTAAATTGGACAGTAATCAAGCATTTATTTATAGTCATATTGGTCAAATTACAGTTGAATTGCAGCCGTAAGTTAACTGTGAGAGTTCAGAAAAAAATTTAAAAAAATCAATGAAAGTGTTTTGCAAGAATCAACAAGCTATACAGAATTGACAATAGAGGATATTCTGTTTTCATTATTATTTGTAAATTCTGCACTAAAAGTCTGTTAAATTTGTAAAATTTAGAATAAACTCATGTATGTATATTAACGCATACTTTTTTTTCCTAGAAAGCCAGTTAGTTGTTACTTACCAATACACCCCTACTAGCCACACGTGGTTACTGAACTCTTGAAATGTGGCCAGTGTAAACTGAGATAAGTTGCAATTGGAAAATACACCCCAGATTTTGAAGACTAAGTATAAAAAAAGAGTTCAATTGATTACACTTTGATATGATACTATTTTGGAAATATTGGGTACAATGAAATGTTGACTACTAAAATATATTAATTTTCAGTTTTTAAACTGTGCCTACTGGAATTTTTTTTTTTTTTTCTGAGATGGAGTCTAGCTCTGGCGCCCAGGCTGGAGTGCAGTGGAGCAATCTTGGCTCACTGCAACCTCCGCCTCCCAGGTTCAAGTGATTCTCCTACATCAGCCTCCCAAGTAGCTGAGACTACAGGCACACACCACCACACCCAGCTAATTTTTCTAATTTTAATAGAGATAGGGTTTCACCATATTGGCCAGGCTTGTCTTGAACTCTTGACCTCAAGTGATTCATCTGCTTCGACCTCTCAAAGTGCTGGACTTACAAGCAATGAGCCACCATGCCCAGATGGAAAGTTTTAAATTACATCTGTGGATTGCATTGTATTTCAATCACACGGTGCTAGATAGTTTTTCTGAAAAAAAGCAAACAGAGTTAGTGGGGCTTTTCACACTTTGCCATTCTCCCTACCTAGAATATGGATCTGATGGGTGCGGTAGTCACCATCCTATACCCACGAGGTAGCCAGCTAAGAGGCAGAACCAGAGAAGAAAACTGCTTCTTTAACAACATTGTTGAGCAGCTACATTGGCTCTGGACAATCTAATTTGAGAAAGAATTCTAGGTGGTGGTTTTTTTGTTTTTGTTTTTTTTACTCTCTGTACTCCTAACTCATCCAAAAGCACATCAAACTTTTGTTGCTAACTTGTCTTTTGAATTAGACTGCAGGGAAGGGTGTAGGGGAAAGCCTTTGATTTTTCAAGTTCATATATCAACAAAGAAAGCAGACATATAAGCCACTACATGAACAAATTATTTTAAGTGACACAGTCCATTTATGAATTTCACTGAATGTCTTCAAACAAAAGAATATACATGCAAATAAACTGGACCTGAGCTGGATTTAAATAACAGCCCCAATCACTTATTATTATTCCTACCTGTGTGACCTTAGAAAATGACTATTTTTCTGCATCCTGGTTTTCTCATTTCTAAAAGGTGGGTATACTATTCCAGGGATCCTGGCTATTCTAATCCCATCACTGTCATCTCACCCTCCTTGCAACTGACTGGTTTATGGGAGGCATAAAACTTAGGTCCGGGTGATGAAGCACAACACAGAGTTTTTGGAAAGGCCTTCCTTACTCCTGGTGTGACACTTACTATTGGCACGTATATATGTGCAGTGGCTCTCTTTAGCATACGAGGAGCTAGCCTGAGGACAAAGTCAATATGCTGAGATGGCAAAATAAAAAACAGAACTTGGTGTTTTGATGCCCCCATTGACACTGAGCTGTTGAATTAATGAAAACGAGGTGCCTTGTCTCCTAATTTTTAGCTTCAAGAGGTAACCTTTCTCTGCTGTTTACACCATTCACATGCTACTATAAATTGTGATTTCTGTACTTCACAGTCAAAAGAATCTGGATGTGATTATTACTAATATCAAAATAAAATCAACAGCTTCTAAAGAGTTCCAGAACAGAACATTTTCTTATTAAAAACTGTTGAATTGCTGCCTCATTTCAAAACCTGAAACCACATCTAAAATATCTGTTCACTTAGGTATTAAATACAGTGTGGAAATTGTTCAGAGAAATTGCTAATTCCCAGGTAGCAGCAACTATGGGAATTAATGAACTAGAAATGCTGCAGAGAACTAAAAACAAATTCTTCTCAAAAAAGGAAAATGTGATGTCACTAAGAGGTTCAAAATCTTGATGGGAATAAAAACAAAAACTAAAAATGAGTTTTTATTTTAACATGATGAAATCAAATTACACTGTTTACTCTCCAAGGTTCTCAGGCTTTGATGGCTTTGGTTGTAGCCCAACTGCACAAAAGCCTTGCACATTTGAATACCAGCTTTTTTCTCTCTATTCTGCCTTCCCCGCTGTATTTTCCAAGACTATTTACTATGTATATTTTGTTTTATAGTGTTTTTTGAAAGAGAAGAACAAAGTTAAAGAACTTGCATTACCTGATTTCAAGACTAAGTATGAAGCTTCAGTAACCAAGACAGTGTGATAGATACTGGCCTAACGTTAGACACATATATCAATGAACAGAATAAAGAGTACAGAAATAAAGCCACGCGTAGATGGAAAATTGCAATTCAAAAGGAAAAAGTATTTGCAATAAATAGTGCTGGGACAAATGAATATACATACAGAAAAAATAAATTTTAACCCTTGTCTCTTAACATACACAAAAATTAACTCAGTATGGATTATTGATCTAGGCATAAAAACCAGAACTGTAAAACTTCTAGGAGAAACTATTCATAACCCAAGGACAGGCACAGGTTTCTTAGTAAAAGATAAAAAGCTCTAAACAAAAAAATTAAATTCACTTCATCAACATTTAAAAGTTCTGCTCTTTAAAAGTCCTGCTCTTTAAAAGTCACCACTAAGGAAGTAAAAAGGCACACATAGATTGCAAAAATTTTTTCATAATTTATCTGACAAAGGACTTATATCCAAAATATAGAAATGAATTATAATAAAAATTAAATCCAACAGTCATAGATCTAAACAAAATGTCCAAAAAGAAGATATACAATTAGTCAAACAGCACAGGAAAGGATGTTTAACATCATCAATCATCAGAGAAATCTAAATTAAAATCACAATGAAATATCACTATATCCATCAGAATGATCACCATGGAAAAGGCTGAGAACATCAACTGTTGATGAGAACGGAAAGAAAGTGGCACTCTCATGCCTTGCCAATGGGAGTGTAGAATGGCACAATTACTTTGGGGAAGTTTGACAATTTCTTATTGGATTATAATATTTTTATCTGATGCCCCAGCAATTCCTCTCCTAGGTATTTACACCAGAGGAATAAACATACGTATCAACAAAAAGACTTGAAGAATGTTTCAGAAGTTTTACTCCTAATAGCCCATTTTTGAATTTTTAAGCAACTCAAATGTCCATGAATAGGTGAAAGGATACATAAATTGAGGTGTACTCATACAATGGAATAAAAAGGAACGAACCGTTAAACACAACAGGGACGAATTTTTTCAACATTAAGCTGAGTAAAAAATGTCAGACACAAAAGATTACATAACATATGATTCTGCTGCTATGAAATTCTAGAGCAACCTAAACTGATCTACAGTAGCAGAAAGCAGCTCATTGGATGCAGAGGACATGATGGGTGATTATAAAGGATCACAAAGGAACTTTTTGGGACAACTGAAATGTGCTGTACCTAGATTTAGGGTGGCAGTCACACTGGTCTATACATTTCTCCAAGCTCATGGAACAGGCAGCTTTATTTTATTTTAGATAAGTCACACTTAAATAAAACTGATTTAAAAATTATTTGGAAACAGTTTTTGTACAACCCCTTTGCAGATTCCTTCTTATCCTGGGGTCCCAGGGTTCAGTTTGCATCTTTTCTCCATTTACATTCATTTTCAAGAGGAAATGGGCAGTGTGCAGGACCCCTAAACAATTACAATAGTGGTATCAAAGATCACTGATCTCAGATCACCGTAACAGAGATAATGAAGCTGTAAGTGTTATGAGAATTATCAAATGTAACACAGATACTAAGTGAACATATGTTGCCAGAAACCAGCACTGATGGGTTTGCTGAGTGCAGCGATACCACAAACTTTGTTTGTTTAATAAAAAGAAAAAAGGCAGTATCTATGATCCAGAAAAAAATGGAGTGCAGTAAAAAAGGTGTGCCCATATTTGTTTAACCTGAATTATAGTTCCTACTGGAAAGGCGGAAAGAATACCGAATTAAGGAGCTGTTACTGCTCCAGGCCTAAAAGGCTTCCAAACCTCACTGCAATAGGCTTTTTACCTTAAGCAGCTTTATTGAGGTATAATTCACATACCATGAAATCCACTTACTGTAAGTGTACATTTCAACAATTTTTAGTAAAAGTGTAGAGTTGTGTGACCATCACTGCAAGACCACTGCCCCAAGAGTTCCCTTGTGCTTAAGTACTTTCAGTAATCTCTAATCGTACCCTCAACCCTAGGCAACCAATGATCATTATCTGTCTCTAGAGCTGTCTTTTCTAGGAATCTCATGTAAATAAAATAATACAATATGTAGTCTTTTGTATCTGGCTTCTTCCACTTAGAATGTTCTTGAGGTTCATCCATGTTGCTGCATATCAGCAGTTTGTTCCTTTGTAAACTGCTGAATAGTATTCCATTGCATGGACATGCTACACTGCCTTTACCCTTTCACCAGCTGATGAACATTTAGGCTGTTAGCAGCTTCTGGTTATTATGAATAATGCTACTCTATGTGGACATATGTTTTTAACCTGGGTAGAAACCTAACAACAGAATTTTCAGAGCATACGGTAAGTTAATATTTAACTTTCAACCAAAATGTTTTCCAAAATAACTACAATTTTTATGTTCCTTCATACATGGGTATGAAGATTCCAGTTTCTTCATATCCTCACTAATGCTGGGTACTGCCAGTCTTTTAAATTACATCCATTCTAATGGATATACAGTGGTATCTTATTGTAGCTTTAATTTGCAATTCCCTAATGACTAGGGATCTTGAGGCATCTTCTAATGTGCATAGTAGTCATGAAAGGTCTAACCAGCAACTTTGTCTATCTTTAAATTGTGTTGTCTTCTTAGCATTGATTTCAAGAGTTCTGTATTGATTTCAAGAGTTCTGGATCCAAGTCATGTATCAGACACACATTACACAAGTATTTTTCTCCTGTGGCTTATCTTTTCATTTTCTTAAAGGTGTCTTTTAAAGAGCAAAAGTTTTAAATTCTGAAATACAAGTATTCAATATTTTTATTTTATTATGATTTACTTTTTAATTTTTTTGAGACAGGTTCTCACTGTTTCCAAGGCTGGAGCGCAGTGGTATAATTATAGCTCAATGTACCTTGGACTCCTGGGTTCAAGTGATCTTCTTGCCTTAGCCTCCCAAGCAGCTAGGACTACAGGTGTGCCCCACCATACCAGGGTACTTTTCTACTTAAAAACAACTTTTTTTTAGAGATGGTATCTCACTATGTTGCCCAGGCTGGTCTCAAACTCCTGGCCTCAAGCAATCCTCTTCCCTCGGCCTCCCAAAGTGCTGGGATTATAGGCATATGCTACGGCACCCAGCTAATTTTTTTCTTTATGGACATTCCTTGGTTGTCATGTCTAAGAAGTCTTTGCCCAACCGAAAGTCACAGAGAATTTCTCCTATGTTGTCTTTTTGAAGTTTTATAGGTTTAGCTGCTACATTTAGGACTAAAGTGCATTTTGAGTTGATTTTTATGTATGATGTGAGGTAAGGGTCAGGCTCAGTTTTGTGCATATAGAAACCTGATTGTCCCAGCACTGTGTATTAAAAAAAAACTATCCTTTCCCAACTGCCTTGGCACTTTTTTCAAAAATCAGCTGACCATAAA